GAGTAAGGGAGTAGCTTCCAAGCCACGTAGTACTGCTAGGCTAGGAGGTGCTCCCAAGCTAAGAAAAGAAAAAGAAAACAAACAAACCAATCAAAACAGAACAAATCAGAGCAAACAAACAAACAAAAAAGCCCTGGAGGTCCTATCAGCGTTGCGGCATGGGCTGGGAAGCAGTTTCACAGTCAAGGGGTGTTTCGTAGCCTTTCAGGAAGAAGCAAAGATGGTGCACGGAGCCAGGTATTTGAGAGAAAGGAGGGGAAGATGGTGAGAGGTAAGGAAGAAATCTAAAGCGGAAAAAAGCAACACCAGCAGCCAACAAAAGACAGTCAGGGAGCCAGCCAGTGTGGGTGGGTGGAATCCAAGTGACATCTGGGTGCTTCCTGGTCAAGAGACTGTGGCTGCAGGAAGCAGAGGAGGCTAAGTGTGGGTGAAGAACAGTGGGGGATAGGAAAGCCTATATCACTGGTTACCAGTTGTTCTGTCTCCTGCTGGAAGCTCCGTGAAGCTGCTTTCTCATACCCCCTGTTTGTTGATCTTCGATAGGAGTCCAACATGGCGGATCCGTGTTGCGGTAGCTGACAGGGGACCTCTGCATGTATCTCTCCTCGCTCTCTGTTCTCGGTCGGTTTCTTATTCCATTCGGTGCTTGGCTGAGTACTTTATCTCTTCATTTGATGCATAGGGTTTCAGGATTGACGTGTGACTCTGTTTGACTTAGTTTTTCTGATCTTTGCTGCCTAGATCCTAATTTTGTTCTTGTATTGTTTTTTTTATTTCTTTTAGCTCTTCGTCTATGTTTTCCCTTAGATCTTTAATTATGTTTAACATTGTTGTATTATATTCTTCCATTTTTTTCATTATTTGGTCATCTCTAGAAGCACTTTCATTCTCTTTGTCAAGTTCATTTGGATGGGTCATTGTGTCTCTGTTCTTTGTGTGTCTTATGAGTTTTTGTTGGGGCATTGAAATTTTCGAGGGTGTTAACTTCCTCAGGTCTTCCCGGTAGTTAGTGGTTTTGCCCACACTACTTTCTTCAAAAAACTCTTAGGCGGGCAGAGCCTTCAGCCTTTGCTTACTGTTTCCTCTCCTTTTCTGTGATAACTCCTTTTCCTTCTCTGGTTTAATTAGGATTTGAAAGTTCCAGATCTCAGTTTTCAACTTTCAATGTTTCCCAGACACCCCAGAGAACACATTGTGATCAATCCATCCACCAGCCACTACCACTGCTCAGGTGAGATATTGTGTACTAATCAATATGTTCACCAGGGGGCACAGTCCTCCCTTTCTAGTTATTACTCCTTTTCTTTCTCTGTTTCTGTGACCACCTTTTCAGTCAGAGAAGCTGCACCCAGTGAACCCCCTTTGGGGCTGGGTGTTACCCTCAGGTTTTGCCTGAGGCTTCCTTCCCTGATCTGTGGGGGCTTCTTCTTTCTGAGCTGGCTTTCAAGGGGTGCACAAGTAGATTTTCCTCTGTTTCAGGAGGAGGAAGGGCTGGCACTCCTCAGAAGAACCTCCAAGAGCTCTGCCTTGTTGGTTTCAGAGCCCCAGCGGCCTTGTGGTGGTTGTGGGGGGCAGTCTCCTCTTAGGTGACCCTCCTCCTGGCTCCACTGTAGAGAATCTTCTGTAGCAGTTTGAATCAGTCTAGCAGCTGACAGTCACTGGGTAGGGGAGGGATTGTCATGCTCTGAACGGACTCCCAGGGAGGTCGGTCTTGTTGCTATCACACCCAGCCCCATAGTATGTTGGCTGTGGGTATAGCCTCCACTCAAGATGCCTGCTTCCTAGCACACAGCAGCCTTAGTCAGCAGTCCTCAGCACTGATTGGACGGAGAAGCGGACAGACCCAAGTTGATCCCCAGGGAGTCCTGTTGGTTTCAGAGGCCTGAGCTATGGGGTGCACAGGGAGGAGGGTAGAATGCTGACTATGGGAGCAGACATCACTCCAAGGGCTTTCTGTAGCAGTTTGCAACACCCTGGCAACTAGCAGTTACCAAGTGGGGGAGGGGATGTCATGCTTCAGTCAGATCCCCACAGAAGTCTGCCTTGTTGCTATCAGTACCTCCCCACCCCCTGATAGATTGTAGGCTGTGCATGCAGCCTGCACTCAAGATACCTGCTTCCTAGCACACAGCAGCTTCAGACAGTAGTCCTCAGTGCCAACCGAAAGTAGGGGAGTAGGGGAAGACTAACCCAAATTGACCCCCAGGAAGGTTTGTCCTGTTGGTTTCAGAGGCCTGAGCTATGAGGTGCCCAGAGAGGCAGGCAGGGTGCTGACTATGGGAGCAGACTCCACTCCAGGGGCCTTCTGTAGCAATTTGCTGCAGGCTTGCAGGTGACAGTGTCCAGGTGGGGGAGGGGCTGCCATGCTCTAAACGGATCCCCAGGGAGGTCTGTCTGGTTGCTATCAGAGCCTGCCCACCATGTATTATGTTGGCTGTGGGTGTAGCCTTCACTCAAGATGGCTGTTTCCCAGTACTCAGCATCCTCAGTCAACACTGACCGGAAGGGGGAACAGGCAGACCCAAACTGACTTCCTGGGAAGTCTGTCCTATTGGTTTCAAAGGCCTGAGCTTTGGCGTGCACGGGGAGGCAGGTAGAGTGTTGATTATCAGAGCAGACTCCACTACAGGGGGCCTTCTGTAGCAATTCCCATTAGGCTTACAGCCAATAGTGCCCAGGTGGGGGAAGTGCTGGCACATTCCAAATGGGCTCTTGAGAAGGTCTGTCTTGTTGATTTTAGAGCAGAAGCTTGGGGTCCTGTCTCTTTGCACAGGCAGGTGGTGTGGTGGTTAGGGAAACGGGTTCTTTTTCTGGGGCCATTTCTCCACTTCACAGCAGCTGGTGGCCTGCGTGGCTGTGGGGAGGGGCAGGGACAGTGGGAGAAACAGTTTTCCTACCATATGCAACTCGTTGTTGATTTGTTGATTCTTGCCTGTCTGCAATTCTCTGCTGCTTTCCTCTGCTCCCCAATTCAGAGTCCCTCAAAGCTGAGTGCTGTTTCCTTGTTGTATTTGTGGGGGAGGGTCAGAATGATGGTCTGTTTACACCACCATCTTCCTAGAATGTGCGTGGCCAATATATCTTTAATAATTTTTTTTCCTGTTCTTTCTTTTATCTCCATCTGGGCCCTTTATGTATGCAGAACCATTTGCTATTATCTAACAGGTTCCTGTTGCTCTGTTCAACTTTTTCTGTTTTTCATATTTGATATTTTCTTTTGATCTATCTTCAAATTCATTTGCTTTTTTTCCTGTCATCTCTGTTCTGCTTTAAGTCCATCTTTTTAAAAAAATTTTTCAACATTGTATTTTTTAGTTCAGAATTTCTGTCTTTGGGTCTTTTTAACATTTTTATTTCTGTGCTGATGTTTCCTATCTTTTTATTCAACACTTTTAAACCCTAGATTTTTAGTTCCAACATATAGGTCATCTCAGGGTTGCTCTTAGTTTATTTTCTTTTTGATTGGCAGTGTGTTCCCTTTTTTCATATGTTGGACAATTTGTATCCTAGAAATTATAAATGTTAAGTTATCGAGGTCTGTTATTTTTCTCTGATGCGTATTGTTTCTTTTGTTTTAGCAGCCAATTGTCGTGCTGAATTTTGTGTAGGATAAAATTATTTTACAGTTGGGCTGGGATAGCTCTATGCTTATCTCCTTGGATATCTGGAATCTGGCAACTTATATTGGCCAAGATGAGGATAGTGGACTAACTACTGATTTGTAATGTGCTGTTTTAAGTTCCGAACTCCCCTGGAGGCACCCAAGGCTGGTTTGCTTATTGATGAATTATCTTGGCATGACCAGTTAAACTGACTGTTTTGGCTTCTATATCCAGAAGGGCATAAAAGAAGCTGCTGGAAACTTAAGGGTAACTCTCCTGAAACCAAGATTTATCACAGAAATCTTGGCGATTCAATCCCTAGATGAAGCACGTTTTTGCATGAATGTAACAGACCCTGGGGAGCTGTGTCTGGAAGTCTCACAGACCCTCAGTGCTTGCCTGTGCCCATTTTCTCCAGCTGTACTATATCCTTTACCTTTAATAAAAGTCTTACGTAAGCGTGTTCTTGTAGAGTCTTACAAGTCCTTCAATTATCTAACCTGTTGTAAGCCTTGCAGAATGGAACTGAACGTCTGCTTCTTGGGTGACAGCTTAATCTCTGTTAAGATCTATTATCACTGGCTGATACACTTTATGTCCGTTTCATACATGTGTGACTAAAGAGTCAGTCAGAGGTGTGGAAAGATGGAATTTGGGGATTGTCTTTCTGGCTCTTTTTCTTCCAGAATTCACCTGCTCTCTTCAGTGGCCACAGTTTCCTGAGCTTCAGTTTTCTGGTTCCTTAGGCCATTTTCCACCCTCCTGACCCCTCACCTCTAACACCAACTACACTTGGCCCCTGATTGAAAGTTGCATAAACTAAGGGCTCACATCATAAAATTCCACTCTTCCAAGCAAGCTCAATCCACCAGCGTTTATCTTTTCTGTTTACTCTCCAGTGCCTTCAGATATCTGGTGTTTGTATTAAGTCTTGATTTTATGGTTGTTTCTGTGGGGATTCAGTCTGGTTTGATCTTGCTTCATTCTCACTGGAAGTAGAACTTTTCTCATGAGATTTTTAAAATATTACCTTTTTTCATAAAAGTTTTAAAACAAAAAAACCACATTTCACCTTGGCACACAAAATCTACTGCCAGCCATGGCTAATGGAAAGTCTAGAATCATAGCATTAGAGAAGCTGTCTTTTTCTAAGAATAATCATATATCTATTTTTCTTTTCAAGAAGAGATTACAAAACAAGGATTAGTCAGAATAATTGCTTACAAAATGGTGTCAGTTATCTGCTAAGTGTAACTAAATGGTCTAATGAAGTATTTGACTCTCTCATTAAGGTCCTTGCATTATGCAGATGATGACAGGTAGATACCCATGACAACTACAAAGAAAGGCTGCTGTATATAATACATGAACATTTAATCCCTTCTTTCTTTTCACCAGGGTTAATATGCTATCTCATTTAATCTTCAGAATCTTCATAATAACCAATGAGGTAAGTATTATATACTCATTTAACAGATGAGGAAACAAATGTTCTGGTAAGTTAAGTCACTTGCCCAAAGTCATAGTACTTTGCATATAGATTGGTCTATTTGATTTCTAAGCCAGGGCTCTTCATTACATGTACTACGTGATTAACTACTGAGAGTTAGTTGGTATTTATAAGGATGTGTGTATGTGTGTGTCTTTAAGTATGTGTTTAGTACATTTTTAATTTTTAATAAGTGATATTCATAGCAAGGGAAAAAAAGCATTATTAAAGAAAAATACTGTCGCAGATGTTAGTTCTGTAAAAGTTTCTTGTGTATACTGGGATTAAATTTATCAGGAACTTAATGTTTTGTATGAGGACTATAAGGAAGTTTATTTTAAACCATTATTACTAACTTCCTCAGTATATTTAAAATAACTTTGTCCTAAACCTGAATAGTATATTTCATGGTATAGTAGAGTTTTAGGCTGTAAAGCAGAGATTGGCAAACTATGAGCCACGGGCCAAATCTGGCCTGCAATCTATCTTTGTAAATATAATTTTATTTTATTTTTTTCTTTAATTTTAATTTTAGTGGTACATAGTCATGATCATTTGTGTATATATATTGTCTAGGCTACTTTTCCACTACAACAGCAGAGATGAATAGTTGCAACCTAGACAGTATGGCCCTGAAGCTTAAAATGTTCAATTTCTGATCCTTTATAGAAGAAGTTTGCCAATTCCTACCCTGACAGGATCTTTGAGATTCTCTAATTTTCCTTTCTCTCTCACTTTCCACTTACCCATTTTATTGATAATGTACTTGAGATAGAGAGACGCTTAGTGAATTACATAAATTAATTGCATATCCAGGACTAGAATCCAGGTCTTTGATCTCTCTTTTTTAAGGTTCATGTTTGTAGAAAGACAAGCGCCTTTGAATGGATTTTGTTCCATTCTCAAATCATTTCCCACATGGTGTGTTGGTCAATAAGCTACGAAAATATTTCTTGCAAGTTCACAAATACAAAACCAAATCACAGAGCAACGTGCTTTCAAAGGCTACAATTTTATCCAAATAACACATGATTTGGGAGACTATCATTTAGAAAACCAGCGTTAGCAAATAGAAATGGTTTGTTCACTTCACATCTGCTTTTCTTAAGTTCCCTAACCTTCCTATTTCCTGAAATTTTCAACAGCACAGTTGACCTATTTAAAGGTGGCTGCTGGTTATCTTGCTATTTTCCAAAGTTTTATGACTGATAGTGTAACATTTCTGAAAGTTAATAGGCATATATTTAAGAAGAAGAATACTTCCACAGTAGGTGTCATTCAAATATAGTATGTGCATGAATTTGCCCTTTATGTTTCCAAATTGTGCAGTCTGATTCTTGACACTGATTCCCTCTGAAGACCAAATCAAGATAAGGACCCAAATTTTCAAACTTACAGTTTTATTTGTGTGTATAAGCTAAACCTTCCATTGATAGGCACAGACCATGATTATGAGAAAGTAGACCTTGCTGCATGAGGAAAACAAAACAAAACAAAACAAAAACATAGTTACCATTAAAATATTGGTCTAAACATTATTTACAAAGGCTTTTATTTGTATCATTGGAAACACTACAACTTTTTAGTAGGCAACTTGCTCTGAAATAGTGGTACCACATTTGCAGAAATATGATACTTAATTAGTGAACTTATTATAAATGCAGATGCCTATTATCCATGAGAAGTGTACTGAATCTGAATTTTGGGGTAGAAGTGGTTAGGGATCTGTATTATTAATAAGATATGCAGGCGATTCTGAAGTACATCAAAATCCCTCTGGTATAGAGAAAACTCTTTTTACCTGACAAACTGGAAAACTAGATTTTAACCCTGGCTAGCGTACTAAATTGCTAAATGTGGCCTTGGACAAGTCACTTCAGTACCAAAAAAAAGTAGGGGAGGGCTCCTATTGAAAGTCCCTGCCTCCTTCCATAGTTGTTCTCTCCTGCACAGTCACACACACAAATACATGCACATATGTAATACACACAGATTGTCTTTCTCTATTGAGAAATACAGTAGTACAAGCAAGAATGAGGTTATTGAGAGGGAGAGGAGGGATTCTTCAGTTTTCTCATCTGTAAAATGAGGATGATAATAGTATTCACCTTGGAATTGTTGTAAGGATTAAGATAACGAAGATAGACTGTTCAGTATAATGCCTGCCACATAAAGTACTCAGCAAAAGTTAACTTAGTAGATTTTATCATTATTATAATCATTGTTAGTATTGATGCCAAAATGACTTAAAACTCTAATATAATAACCCCATTAACCCATTGCTGTCAAGTCGATTCTGACTCATAGCGACCTTAAGACAGAGTAGAACTGCCCTATAGGGTTTCCAAGGAGCGGCTGGTGATTTGAACTGCTGACCTTTTGGTTAGCAGCCAGGCTCTTAACGACTGTGCAACCAGGGCTCCAATTCAGTATAATAGACAGACTATTTTTCCTCTGCAAAACCAAAATAAGAAAGAGCTGCCCTCATTCATTCACTCCTTCACTCATCCATTTATTAAAATAAGTAATAATTGCTGCTTTCCAGTGTCCCATCAGTGCCCTGCACTGAGGACACAAAGTTAACTAGTATGTGGTCTCTGACCTCAAGGGACTTACATTTTAAGGGAAAATAAAGACCAATAAACCAACTCATTATTTATATAATTTTCACCTTTGAAGTACAATCACTTTTCTACTAAGAAAACAAACTGACAATGCTATGGGGTACCTCTGGGATCTTGTTCTTGCCTAATAAATCACACAGGTATTGCTCACACTCCAATATTTAGTAAGGGAGATAAATAATGGCTCTTTTCAACAATTTGCAGTGTCATATCGGTCTCATCATAGAATTTATATTCACCTTGTCAAAAGACATAATAGCCAAGAATCAAAATTGTTTCTTTATAGAGAAGGCCATAAGCATTTGCTGAAAAGCCATTTCACCCACTTTCACCAAGGAAATAATAACTTCCATTAGATAGTTTTATCTCTCCTCTTGAGTAGTGTGGCATATGCATACTGGACAAGATTGCATTTTTGAAGAACTTGTTGCTATGAGAGTACTTTAGATAAAATGAGCTGAAAGGGTTCAATTAAGCTCCCCTTAGTCTGAAGCCACTCACTGTCTTTGACTTTTAAAAGAGGTTTTACATTCCTTGCTATAATCTTAAAGACAATAAAAATGGTGTTAATAGCTTTTTCATCATTTCAGCTGTCTCCCCTTGAGGATTCCATTATTGCTTTTGATAAATTTATTCTAGAAAGAGAATGAGGAATGGGAAGAGAGACGGAAAATATTTAGATTATTATGAATATACACAATATCAATGTTGATTTTACTAGAAATAGCACCAAGGATATTTTGAAAAGAGCCAGTAAAGAGATGCCATGCTTATTTTTCTATAAACTGAAACTTGTATTTTCTGCAAAGTAAGTTAAACAAAGGTATAGATTGAACATTTAGCTTTTCTTATGAGATCTCTCTTCTTTAAGTTTGAATTGGAGAATTTTCCCTAGAAAACAAATAGATCTTACACACCTAGAAGTCAAGCAAAAGATTTAAAACTATTTATAACAAATATGGAAAGTAAAAGTTAAAAAACTCAGTATAGAACTAATTCAGGTTGCTTAAAACAACATCAATAGCAATAATAGATAAATGTGTAGTGTATATTAACGAACAAATCAAAATGGCTAACATTTAAAAAAAAATGGCCACCACTAGTTAAGAAATACAGATTAAAAAATGGAATAACACTTTTTCCTATAAAATTAGTAAAGATTTTAAAATGGCCATATGCAACACTGATAAAGGTGTGGCGAGACCCTTTTATAATCTACTGGCTGTAAAAATTATGAATTTTAGAGAGTAATTTAGCAATAAAGCATCAGTACTAAATATGTTCATACTTGTTTTATTAATCTATTCTCTGAAGGTTGTAAATTATAGAAACCCCACCTCACACCTAGTTGGGCCCAGTAGGGAATTATTGTATTCTAGCTTCTGGATGGATTCTACTACTGACATTATCTTATCAGGTATCTGTTTCTTTTCATCATTAGCTTTTGTCATTCCTCTGTGTTAGCTTCATACCAGAGCAGACGCTCTCCAGCAGTCACTGGGAGACTGAGTTTATATCATACCAGGTTAATAATCCTTGATGAAAGAGAATGGCTTTTTCAGAATAGTTTCTGGAAAAGCTCAGGGCTGAGCCTGGTGCCTGAGCTGGGTCTCACATTCTTGAACCACTCGCTGCAGGCTGAAGGAGTAGAATGCTCTGACTGAACCCACTTTTGTGCCAGGGTTGGCGTTTGCCTTATTCAAGTCACTTAAACTAATATGAGGTACAGAAGTGATTCTTCAAAGTGAGGTGTTGTCACCAAAAGAAGGGGAAATGAAGGCTGGTATGAAAAATCTACAAATATTCACTACACTAACAGTTTCACCCTTTAACACTCCTGTAAATCAATGTTAAGAAATAATAAATGCAGAGATTTACATAACAATGTTTATCACAGCTTTAGTTATGATGCTAAACAACAACGAAACCTTGAACAATCGTGTTGTCCTGCAACAGGAGAATCGTGAATTAATTGTGAATTAAGGAATATAAAATGTTTTACGCAGCTACTAAAATTATGTTTTCAAATAGATTTTAATACTTATGAGGAATGGATATTTTATAATATAAAACCGTAAAAGCAGAATGATCTTACCTATGTAAAAAATGCACAGGAAAAAAATTAAAAATCTATGACAATAATAATTGCTCTAAAAACTGTTGGAATTCACTTATTTATAAAACAATTATTTCTGCAGTGTTTCTTTTATGGCAGGGATTTTTATTTTGAATATTATTTGCTTTACAATTTCCATATTTTTATATATGTTATAATGAGCAACTGAGAGGTGCACTGCATTTAGACTGAAATTACTCTACTTAAATCTCTGTGATGGTTTAAACATCATTTTAGGGTGCTTTCAGGTACACTGTCTCATTCAATGTGTCTCTTATGAAATCAGCCATCAGTTCTATTTGCTCCATGAGGGTTTTGTTCTTCTATAGGAACCATAAATAAAATCTGTTGATTGACAAAGTGATTCATTTGTTCATTCATCCAACCACCTATAAACTGTTGGAGGGATTAAAAAAATAAACCCTAAAGGAATTCTCTAATTGTAAATCATTATGGGTCAGTGAATAGTTTTTTGCAGTGATTGGGATATGTTAATTATTCTTTGTTCATTTTAAGTAAACCAAGAGCTAAATGGATGTCAGCAATTTTGTTAAAGTCATTGTGTGTGAAGAGGTTATGCATGTGTATAGTAGCATTCGTAAAAATAATTTACGTAAATTGTCTTACCAAATATTTGGGAATTATTGTATCCTATTATTAATGCTGGCAACGCTGGTGGCGTAGTGGTTAAGTGCTACAGCTGCTAACCAAAAGGTCGGCAGTTCGAATCCACCAGGCACTCTTTGGAAACTTTATGGGGCAGTACTACTCTGTCCTACAGGGTCGCTATGAGTCGGAATCGACTCGACGGCAACAGGTTTTTTTTTAAATTATTATTAATGCTTAAATGTATTATTAATGTTAAAATATAATATTAAATATATTCAGATTTAATTCATTTTCTACATGTTCATTTATGGATACTTTTCACTCCACCTACTACCTCAGATGGAGTAGTAGTTTACAAAGTTTTCTGGTCAAAGATCTTCTGGCAAGAAGTTTGTGGCTGCCACTCCCTGAAGGTATCTTTTTGGGTAGTGCCTCCAAGCCTCAGAGGAGACTACTTTGGCCAACTCCTACGAGAAGAAGATATAGGCAGAGGTCAAGATTCTTTTAGCAAAGTATGAAGAATGACCTTTAATGTCAGCTGGAGGCATTAATCTTGACTATATGACACTGGCTAAGTGAGGATACACCGGTATTCTGGTGACAGCAAAGGGCACCAACAAGTACCCAACAAATTCCCTTTATCCTTTTTATTATTACTTAGAATTTTAATTTTATATTTGTTGAAATAATTCTTTTGGATTTTAGACACAGATTTTTATAATATGTCATTTCTGGACATATATTAAAAGGAAGTAGAAGCAAAATACATTGGCTAAAATATTACATAAAACTTCCCCACATTCAGAGCCCAACCCTTTTGAGAGATTTTTGACACAGAGTCACCGATACCTCAGTTTTTCCTTACAATATCATCCTTTGTGCCATCAAGAGTGTTAATGATATAGTGTATTTTTAACTTTTTAATTGTGAAATAGAATATACACACAGAAAATAACATGGAGCATTGAAGTATAACCTAAAAAATAATTAGAAAGTGAACTCCTATGTCAAGAAATAGACTATTACAAGCACCCTCAGATGCCCTTCATGTACTCTCTCCTTACCTCTTAAAGTAACCACAATCTGTCTTTATGATAATCATTTTCTTGCTTTTCTTCTTTTCTTTATAGTTTTATCAACTGTGTTTCCATCTAGAAACACAAAGCTTTCTCTACCCCCCACCCTGTTTCACAGTGAGCTCCAAATTTGACTAAAATCACCTAAGCCCCATCTCCATTTCTGATAAAAGGAGAGCAGGGGTAGTAACAGACTCCCCAGACCAGAGACCAAGAGCTAGTCATTACATTCACTTCCCTAGTTGGGAACCAGAACTGCATAGAGAAGTAGGCCACTAATCTTACCTCCGATGGGATTGCCAATTCTGTTGAAACCTGTTGCCATCAAGTCGATTCTGACTCATAAAGACCCTATAGGACAGAGTAGAACTGCCCCATAGGGTTTCCGAGGAGCAGCTGGTGGATTTGAACTACCAGCCTTTTGGTTAGCAGCCTGAGCTCTGAACCACTGAGCTACCCGGGCTCTGGGTTGCCAATAGTAACCATTAAAAGCCATTTCTGTACAGGGTCATGAAGAAGGCAGCTTTGTGCTGCAACAGCCTAGAGGAGAGGCACTGCTGATTTCTTTCTTTCCCTACCTAGAAGTGCCAGATGCTGCCTGTCTATAGACCCAGACTTTAGTGTGTCCAGATAATTTAATAATTATATCTGTCATATATTGAATGCTAAGCAGTGTTCTTAGTGATTCACACACAGTAGTTCACTTCCTCCTCACTAAATTGTATAGGGTTGCTGCTGTGTGCTGTCAAGTAGATTCCGAATTATAGCCACCATATAGGACAGAGTAGAACTGCCCCACAGCATTTCCTAGGCTGTAATCTTTATGGCGCAGATTGCTGGGTCTTTCTCCTGCTGAGTTTCTGGTGGCTTCCAACCGCTGACCTGGTTAGCAGCCATACGCTTAACCACCATACGTTTCACCAAGAGTGTGAAGGCACTTTTTTTTTTTTTTTTTTTAAATCAGATGGCGGAATTGAGACTTGAAAAGTTAAGTTACTTGATCAAGATCATACAGCTAGTAGATGACTGAGTTTGAATTCATGCTCCAACCAAGGGATGGTTCCAAAAAGGTTTGAAGGGATAAACTATTGCCATCCAGTCGATTCTGATTCATGGCAACCCTATAGGACAGAGTAGAACTGCATCATAGGGTTTCCAAAGAGCAGCTGGTGGATTCCAACTGCTGACCTTCTGGTTAGCAGCCATGCTCTTAACCACTGCACCATCAGGGCTCTGAGTTATACTTGGTATAGGTAAGTGTTCATTTCGTGAAAAACGCATGACTTTTACACTCTAACTGAATAAATAAAAGTTCTTTCAGGCTTATCTCTTGTGTTTTAAAAATCCTATTATGTTTCCAAAAGATTTTTGTTCTTGGACATTCAGAGAGAAGAGGATAGTCTGTTGAATACAGCACTCCAATTCCCAATACCCCTCCCTGTCCTTATGCCAGGGGATGTGTTCTGTCCTTTCAGAAGCAGTGGCAAATCTTACCACTAGAGGGAGGGATCAGACCATGGAGAACAGCAGCAAGACGTGGCTAAGGAACCTCATGGCCATTTCATGCTCTTCACAGGCACCTGGAAGAAGTCCTGATGGTGCAAATGGTTAAGAGCTCTGCTGCGATTCGAACCCACCCAGAGCCTCCATAGGAGAAAAGATCTGGCGATCTGCTCCCCTAAACATTACAGCCCAGGAAACCCTATGGGGCAGTTTTACTCTGTCCTATAGGGTCACTATGAGTCAGAATTGACCTAATGGCACACAACAACATAGACGTCTGCAAGTAGACTAAGCATGAAATTGAGAAGCCCCTTTTAAACAAACAAACAAACACGTCTTTTTGTTCTCTGGTAGAGAAAAATTTGCAGCCCCAGTGAAGGAGAGAGCCAGATAGTGAGGCCTCGAAGTGAGAAAGGCTAACAATCTCAGCACTGTTGATGTTTTAGGCGAAGTAATGCTTTTTTTCCCTTTTTTTATTGTACTTTAGATGAAGGTTTACAGAGCAAACTAGCTTCTCATTAAACAGTTAGTACACATATTGTTTTATGACATTGGTTAACAACCCCACGACAGGTCAACACAGTCCCTTCTCGACGTTGAGTTCCCTATTACCAACTTTCCTGTTCCCTCCGGCCTTCTAGTCCTTGCCCCTGGACTAGTGTGCTCATTTAGTCTCATTCTGTTTTATGGGCCTGTCTAATCTTTGGATGAAGGGTGAACCTCAGGAGTGACTTCATTACTGAGCTAAAAGGGTGTCTGGGGGCCATACTCTCGGGGTTTTACCAGCCTCTGTCAGGCCAGTAAATCTGGTCTTTTTTTGTGAGTTAAAATTTTGTTCTACATGTTTTTCCAGCTCTGTCTGGGGCCCTCTATTGTGATCCCTGTCAGAGCAGTCAGTGGTGGTGTCTGGGCACCATCTTGTTGTACTGGACTCAGTCTGTTGGAGGCCATGGTAGTTGTGGTCCTTTGGACAAATCTTTCCCTTGTATCTTTAGTTTTCTTCATTTTCCCTTGCTCCCAAATGGGTGAGACCAGTGGAGTATCTTAGATGGCTGCTCAAAGGCTTTTAAGACCCCAGACACTATTTACCAAAGTAGAATGTAGAACATTTTCTTTATAAACTATGCCAATTGAGCTAGATGTTCCCCGAGACCATGGTCTCCACAGCCGTCAGCCCAGTAATTCGGTCCCTCGGGGAGTTTGGATGTGTCTATGGAGCTTCCATGACCTTGCCTTGTACAAGTTGTGCTGGCTTCCCCACTATTGTGTACTGTCTTACCCTTCACCAAAGTTACCACCTATCTACACTCTATTTAGTGTTTTTCCATCCCCACTCCTCCCCTCCCTCATAACCATCAAAGATGGTTGCTTTTTGTGTGTAAACCTTTTCATGAATTTTTATAGTAGTGGTTTCATACAGTATTTGTCCTTTTGTAATTGACTTATTTCACTCAGCATGATGCCCTCCAGATTCATTCATGTTGTGAGATGCTTTGCAGATTCCTCATTGTTCTTTATCGTTGCATACTACTCCATTGTGTGTATGTACTATAGTTTGTTTATCCATTCATCTGTTGATGGGCATCTAGGTTGTTTCCATCGTTTTGCTATTGTGAACAATGCTGTAATGAACATGAGAGTGCATATGTCTATTCGTATGATGGCTCTTATTTCTCTAGGATATATTCCTAGGAGGATTGCTAAATCATATGGTATTTCTATTTCTAGCTTTCTAAGGAAGTGCCATATCGTTTTCCAAAATGGTTGTATCATTTTGCATTCCCACCAGCAGTGCATAAGAGTTCCAATCTCCCCACAGCCTCTCCAACATTTGTTATTTTCTGTTTTTTTGATTCGTTCCAGTAATGCCAGGGTGAGATGGTATCTCATTGTGGTTTTGATTTGCATTTCTCTAATGGCTAGTGATCATGAGCATTTCCTTGTGTGTCTGTTAGCTGCTTGAATGTCTTCTTTGGTGAAGTGTCTGTTCATTTCCTTTGCCCATTTTTAATTGGATTATTTGTCTTTTTTGTGGTAGAGGTGTTGGATTTTCTTGTAGATTTTAGAGATTAAACCTTTGTCAGATTTATAATAGCCAGAAAGTTCTTCCCAGTCTGTAGGTTCTCTTTTTACTATTTTGATGAAATCTTTTATGAGCGTAAGTGTTTAATTTTTAGAAGATCCCAGTTATCTAGCTTATCTTCTGGAGTTTGTGTGTTGTTAGTTATGGTTTGTATCCTGCTAATGCCGTGTGTTAAGCCCTCTAGCATTGATCCTATTTTTTCTTCTATGATCTTTATAGTTTTTGAGTTTATATTCAGGGCTGATCCATTTTGAATTTGTTTTTGTGTATGGTGAGAGGTATGGGTCCTGTTTCATTTTTATTCAGATGGACATCCTGTTTTGCCAGCACCATTTGTTAAAAAGCCTATCTTTTCCCCATTTGTGGACTTTGGGCTCTTGTCAAAGATCAGGTGACCGTAGGTAGATGAATTTACATCTGAGTTCTCAATTCTGTTCCATTGGTCAATGTATCTGTCGTTTTACCAGTATCAGGATGTTCTGACTACTGCAGTTGTATAGTAGGTTCTGAGGTCAGATAGTGCCAGTCCTCCTACTTTCTTCTTCTTCAATAGTGCTTTACTTATCTGGGACTTCTTCCCTTTCCATATGAAGTTAATGATTAGTTTTTCCATCTCTTTAAAGAATGTTGCTGTTATGCGGATCGGGATTGCATTGTATTTGTAAATTGCTTTGGGTAGAATTGTCATTTTCACAATGTTGAGTCTACCTATCCATGAGCATGGTATGTTTTTCCATTTATGTAGATCTCTTTTGGTTTCTTACAGTAGTGTTTTGTAGTTTTCTTTGTATAGGTCTTTTATATTTCTGGTTAGATTTATTTCTAAGTATTTTATTTTTTTAGGGGCTATTATAAATGGTATTGTTTTCCTGATTTCCTTTTCATTGTTCTCTTTATTGGTGTATAGGAATCCAGCTGATTTTTGAATGTTTCTCTCGTATCCTGTTACTCTACTGAATCTTTCATTAGTTCCAGGAGTTTTCTTGTGGAGTCTTTAGGGTTTTCTATGTATAGTATCGTATCATCCACAAATAGGGACAGTTTTACTTCTTCATTACCAATTTGGATGCCCTTTATTTCTTCTTCTTGCCTTATTGCTCTGGCTAGGACTTCCAGCACAATGTTAAATAGAAGTGATGATAAAGGGCACCTTGTCTTGTTCCTGTTCTCCAGGGGAATGTTTTCAGCCTCTCTCCATTAAGAATGATGTTGGCCATTGGTTTTGCATAGATGCCCTTTATTATGTTGAGAAATTTCCCTTCTATACCTATTTGATTAAGAGTTTTTATCAGGAATGGGTATTGGCTTTTGTGGAATGCCTTTTCTGTATCAATTGAGATGATCATGTGATTCCTTTCTTTTATTTTTTTTATATGGTGGATAAGGTTGATTAATTTTTTTATGTTGAACCATCCTTGCATACCTGGTATAAATCCTACTTGGTTGTGGTGTATTATTTTTTTGATATGATGCTGAATTCTGTTGGATAGAATTTTGTTGAGAATTTTTGCATCTATATTGATGAGAGATATTGATCTGTAATTTTCTTTTTTTGTGGTGTATTTTCCTGGTTTTGGTATCAGGGTTATGCTAGCTTCATAGAATGCATTCAGAAGTATCCCTTCCTTTTCTATGTTCTGAAATAGTTTGAGTAAATACTGGTGTGAGCTCTTCTCTGAATGTTTGGTAGAATTCTCCTATGAAGCCATTTGGCCAGGACTTTTTTTGTGGGGAATTTTTTTTTTATTACCTTTTCAATCTCTTCTCTTGTTATGCGTCTGTTCAGATTTTCAACATCATTTTGTGTTAGTTTGGGCAGGTAGTGTGTTTCTAGAAATTTGTTCATTTCCTCTAGGTTTTGAAATTTGTTAGAGTATAGTTTTTGATAATACTCTGTTATAATTCTTTTTATTTCAGTTGGGTCTGTTGTAATGTTTCCCATTTTGTTTCTTATTTGGGTTATTTACATCCTCTTCTGTTTTTCTTTTGTCAATTTGTAAGCTAGATCATTCTTTATGGTTGGGGGCTGTCCTGTGCATTGTAGGATATTTAGCAGCATTCCTGGCCTCTATCCATTAGACACCAGTAGCATCCTCCCCCTACTCTTGGTGAGCAAAAAGATCTCCAGACATTGCCAAATGTTCCCCGGACTGGATGGCAAAATTAATGCTGATCGAGAACCACTCTCCTAGAGATCTATCTGAGGTCTTCTGAAGGTATGAGAACCTGAGGACCTGACACCTCAGGGGATAAATGAAGGATCTTCTTTTCCTGGGTGAGTGGGGAATCTGGGGCTCTTCTTGGTTTGGGGCTCCACAATTCGAAGCTAGGCCTAGAAGGGATGGAGTTGGTCCCAGTCTATAAATGAAACTGTGGACAATATTATAACACCAGGCAAGGTGGACAAAAGGAAGCAAGTAACAACTTGAAACTTTATAGTAAAGGGAGAAAAAAGTAAGAACTGGATTCAAGTAGATTAGCTGGAGATGATTTCTTGCAAAATGAAGCTATTAGGCTCAAGAAGCAAGGTATCCCTCAAGGGGAGACCTCTTGTGAGACATCTGCAGGAATAGGAGGGAGCTGCTAAGTTCTTTGAACTAATTCAAACACTTCTCTCCCAAACCACGTCCTCCAGAATTTTCTGTTTCACTTGCTACTACCGTTAGCCCTTAGTCAATCATGCTAGAAACCTTGGAATCATTCTTTGCAGTGATTCATTTCAGGAAGGGAGTGATTTAAATATGAATTTTCCTGTTAGAGACATCTATGGCCAATAGGACATAGGTTACTTTGAGAGTTGTTGTAAACACGTTCCTTTGCACATTTCCAACAAGCTGACACCAGATTCCTTACTTGCACACATGCTGGCCACAGCAACTCAAAAGAAGTTTAATCAAAAGGAAGGAACTAAACTAATACACAGTCCATAGAGAACATGAATCCAAAGCTCTATGTGCTCTGTAATGCCACTTACAGGGTCTTATACTGCCAAGAGCTCTATTTTGGCAAAGACCATATCCATGGGTCCTGGGTTTGGATGCTAACAAGTCACTGATTGGTTTTCCTGGTAGGCTGCGGTCCACTATCTTGTATAGCTGGAGCTCAGTCTAAGCTAGCCATCTACCTCTCTATGTACCATTGCAGAGAGGATAGTGTATGGATCCATCCTATTTAGTGATTAACTCTTTTGTTGAAGTATAGCTTCTAATACTAAGCCAGTATTAGAAACCAGTAGATTGTTACTTTCAAGGGTATCTCACTTGAATACACAGTTGCATTGTTTACCACAGTGGGACAAAGTAAGAAGACTCAATACATGTTTATTAATTGACTATCTGGCTAAGTGAATAAGTAAATGCGTAGCCACACTCAGAGCTTAGAATATTCTAGTATGAGTGTTTGTCCTCAAACAAGGAAACACTTTCGTTGTTTAAAGCATTTGCTTTTGCTCAGATCCCTTTATCAGCTGGAGCACCCTTCCTTCAGGGGGTCTTAGTGTTATATACTAAGAACTCAAAGCTGCTTCTTTCCTTTTACAGGAAATTGCTATATACCAAATGGCAGCCAGAAACTACCTCACTTACTCAGACGGCAACCTCCTCCCCACCCAGGCCAATGACTGACTGACGTGGAGGTCAAAAAGCTCATTTGCCTTACAATGAGATCAAGTCTGTGGTGTAATTTATGTTCCAGAGCATCTCCATGGGATCATACTAAAGCTAGTGTTCAGCTGAGAACACATCCTCGCTGAACTTTATTTTCCTCTGCCTTATTTGTCTTCTTTCACTCTCCTCCTGAGAGTACTTCCCCAATAATCACTTGAACAAGAATCCCCATCTCTGGCTCTGCCTCCAGGGAACCATGCCTAAAATAATCGTTGATTCCATACTTAGAGCAACCAAGGCCACATGTCCACATTGGTGTCTTTCCCAAACTCCTCAGACAAAGAGGATGGCAAAAAATCCAAATTGCAACAACTTTTCCCAGTTGACTTGGAGTCACCGCCATCATCTTATTTTAAACTTCCTTTTAAGCTCATTGTTATGAGTGTAAGTCTTCGCGTGAAAGCAATGTGAAGGTAAGACCTCAGGATTCAAATTTGTAGAATGGTAGCTTATTACAGCAGAAAAAGACCTTAGAAATCATGTAGTTTAACATCTTATTTTACAGATGAGTTGACTGCAGCTCAAAGACATGGTTCTCTCGGTGGTAAAAGCTAATGAGTGGCAGAGCTGGGATAGAATCAGATTTCCAATCTCTCATGTAAGTACTTTCTCAAACTTCTCTGCTTCTTGTTACTAACTGCATGCACATAAGGAACTCTTTTAAGCTGGGTGCTATATAGGCAAGTCGAAAGAAATGCCTCAGGCTCTTAACATACACGAAACATTTTAAAGAAAAATTTGTTTAAAGCAAAAAGAAAGGTTTCATTTAGCATATGTTCAAAGAGGCAAAAGTAGGAAACGGACAAGCATGCTGCCAGAGCCATGTCTGCTCGAGTCCAAGGAATATTACAGAATAGACAGAAGTGGGAAAATGGACAAGCATACTGCCAGAGCTGTATCTGCCTGAGTCTAAGGAATATTACAGAATCATCAGTATATATTAACATTACAAATGGGTAAAATCATTGAAATCTTCACCTTTTCACAAATTGGCCAAAAACTGTTAAGTGGCTGTGATTCTACATTTTGAATTGTCTTTCTTAATAATCATTGGTATAGGTTTCAGTAACAACAGTCAGGAGGGTCTTCATTGGTCCAACAAATCTTACTATTCACTAAATGCTTATAGAAAAATATAAGTGGAAAGTATGTGCTGTTTATGATTTGTTTATGTGAAAGATTCCCTAAAAAATGTTTCCCAAGATTATCCTAGCTATTGTCTTTATACCTCAGGGCCCACTTGATGTGTCCTTGTGAGTCCTTGTGAGTCCAGCTCCAGCTGGATCACATTCTTTATACTCAAGGACAGGGAATAATAGCTCCAATATTATCACCTAAATCATTCCCTCCTTTTGCTCAGAGATTGGCGATAACACATTGATGATCAATACCTGGACTTAGTCATGCTCCTAGATGGCAGCCATGGCAGGCTCTTTAAACTCATGGTGCTGGTTTTCCACCAGATACCATCTGATTTGCATTTTTTTAAATCTTTTTTTTTTTTAATTGTGCTTTAAGTGAAAGTTTACAATTCAAGTTAGTTTCTCATACAAAAATTTATACACACGTTGTTATGTGACCCTAGTTTCTCTCCGTGTACTGTGACAGCACACTCCTCCTTTCCACCCTGAATTTCCTGTGTCCATTCAACCAGCTCCTGACCCTCTCTGCCTCCTCATCTTGCCTCTGGACAGGAGCTGCCCGTTTAGTCTCATGTATCTACTTGAGCTAAGAAACACACTCTTCATGAGTATCATTTTATGTCCTATAGCGCAATCTAGTCTTTGTCTGAAGAGTTGGCCTTGGGAATAATTTTAGTTTTGGGCTAACAGAGAGTCAAGGGGCCATGTCTTCCGGGGTCTCTCCCATCTCAGTCAATCCATTAAGTCTGGTCTTTTTACTAGAATTTGAGTTCTGCGCTCCACTTTTCTCCGCTACTGGATACCATCTGGTTCTTCACCAGGATCTTAAGTAAAAATGACGTTCTCATCAATCACATTGCCAAAATCAGCAGACTTAATGTACATCAACATTTTAGCCCAAGGCCTTCTTCTGTGTTTTAGGTGTGTAAGACAATAGAAGATAAGCTTTATTATGCCTAATACTATCAGGATGCAGACTAAGAATAATATTATTCCTTGCAATAGTGATCTAATCCGTGTACTTATTCCTGACGGTAACCAACTACATAAATCTGGTGTTTGTAAGGGTGTTATAGTGTGTAACGAAGTAGCTTGCTGTCCAGTTCTATGTATATCCTGTTCTATTTCTCCTGTGTTATTTATCCAAAAGCAACAAGATATTTGCTATAGCACAAACTATTCTTTCTTGGGCTAACAAAAAATCTAAGGCTATTCTGTTATCTAATGCCCCCTTGGCTTAATGAAGTCAGATTGCTGTTGTGCCTTCCATCCTCTTAACAACTTTGTCTGCTATTTGTCCCATAGTGATTGACAAATTTCTTAAAGATTTCTCCAATTCAACTATACCAAGAGTACGAATTAAAGCTCTTAGAGATCGCTAACCTCACCCTGACTTTTGGACCAATGGGTTTTCTTCTGACTCTTATTTTACAATGTGTAACAATTTAACATTACCTTTCCAATATTTATTAGCATCATTACTATGAATATCTAAAGGTAATCCTAAAATTCCCAAAGTGCATTGCCCATGCATTCACCAGGAATCTAAACAAGAGTTTGCCCACGTAAATTCACTGCAGTTGGAAAGGGATCATCTAGACTAGTGTAGATGGATTCACCACACAAAAACCTATATCCATAAGGAGCACACAAAGTTTGTCTAGAGGAAACAGAAGGTATAGAAAAATTTACATGTGACAACAAAGTTTCCGTTAGAGAATACATGAGTGGTAAGATGGACCCTTGCTGTTGGAGGGCTTCAGTTTAAACTAATTACTGATTTACCCTAGACATAGCTCCCAGTATGATCTTTGGAGTTAGCTTCCCAAAACAGACTGAATTCTTCAAAAAAAGCACAATTCCAAGAGCAAAATAGTCTTACTAGTTTATCTAGACCATTGTTTGACTCAAAAATGGCTTCAGGAACCAGTTTTTTTTTTTTTTTTTTCCCCTCAAAGTTTGAGGTTCGAAAGGACATCCAAAGACAGTTGCCTGTATGGGTCACCCCAACCACCAGCAATCTGGATTCCAGGAGAATTACAACTCTTCCATGGTTCCCGCCTTTGTATCATGATCCTGCTATAGAATCTTTGATCAAAAATGTTCAGTAATGGTAGATGGGCACAATCTGGTTTTTTTTAAAAGATCCCAGACACCATACAGCAAACTGTGAGGTAAAATAGAAACACTAACAATAACATTAGGTCAATTGTCTGAAATAGCCATTTTTCTACAGTGGTCACTGAAATTCCAAATTATTTCTAATATATTCAGTTTATAGTGTTTTTAAATATGAACCCCAAACCAGTGTCTTGGTAGCAGGAGGTGGAAATCCAGGCTCATTTATCAAAGATGTTAAGCTCTAAGGTTCAAGCTTTTGGTTTCCCTCTTTTTGAACTTAATTCATTCTGCTGGCTAGAGAACTAGTCTCTTATTTTAGACTTTAAATATACTAGCTCCTCCAGTTTGGAAAGCACTTTAAACTAGCTGCTGCTGATTTTAATTTTAACATTGTAATTCTTTTTTGAGAAACTATATCATAAAACAGATCCGGAGCTACCATCTCTCCCTGTGAATTTCATAAAACAGGTCAAGACTTTCCAACCCCCCCCCACCAACAAAACGTCATAAAAACAGGTCAGGAGCTGCCTCCTCCCCCGGCAAATTTGACAAAACACAGCACTATTTTCCAGATTTTCTCCAAGTCACAAGAAGAACCCTAACAAGGAATGCCATGAGGTTTGGACAGTGTTTTGCTTAGATGAATGTGTACCTTTCTTGAACAAGAGTTTGCTTGCAGGTGGCAGGCAGCCTCTCAACCACCTTATCCTGTCACGGGAGTCTTTAATGTTCGTGATGAGCACTGGTGACTGCTCTAGTGGCTTTTACTGGTTAACCCGTGCCTGAATTTTGTGGCTTATAGCGACCCAGAGCTCTTTGAAAGTAGAATTACCTCTTTAATGTTCCAAACGCCTGAATCTGGACAATTAAACTGCAGTTCACTAGAAGAGTTATTAAATGTCACTTTTAACTAAACAATCAAGCAAAAATCTAAGATTCTCCTTAACCAAACAACTAGTTTTCAAACAAATATGCTGAACAAAACTTAAGAAAACATAAGAAAGAGAACAAAAAAGAAAAGGCAAAGGCTCAATTTCCGAGAGCACTTACCCTGTCAGTGTCAAAGGGACATGGAGTGCGGATGCGTGGATCCAGAAGATAGGAACTCTCTTTGCTGCTTCTGCTCTGCAGTCCAGGTCTCCTCGAGTTTGACTGGATTTATAGCTTCAGAAATCCCTGCAATGATTATGCCATTAACTCTTCTGGGAAGAAATCACCACAAAGTTACAGTAAAGCAAAGAGAAAAGTTTTATTCAGCATATGTTCGAAGAGACAAAAGTAGGAAATGGACAAGCATGCTGTCAGAGCCTTGTCTGTCAGAGTCCGAGGAATATTACAGAATAGGCAAAAGTGGGAAAACAGACAAGCTTGCTGCCCTATTTTAAGTAAATTTTAAGAACAAAGTGACAATATATTAAGGATGATTACTGCTTACATCTTTATATTTTTAATCATCTATTCTATAAACATTTACTAGGTTTTCTTGTTAGGGTTAAAAAAATTAGTAAGACAAGATCTCATCTTCAAGGAACTTAGTAGCAGAGACTGTTAAGTGAACACTGGGTATACACTAATGCTATAAGTAAGATGCAGAGCCAGAGAGAGGAAGTAATTAATTTTATCTGGCAGAACTAGGGAAGGGTACCCAGAGGAGATGACATTTGAGATGGCTCTTGAAAGATGAGTAGAATTTGAATAGGTGAAGAAGGGGAAAGGACATTATAGTTAAAGACAATAGAATGAGCACAGGGAAAGGGAAGTTTGAGGCATGGAAAGCCTTTCCATGTGGCTGAAGTAGGTGCTTCTAAGAAGTGGAGAACAGGAATTTGAATATTTGGATGTGGTTACTGTAAAGAGTCTAGGGTGCCATTTTGTCTCCTAATTATAATGCCTTTCTCCCAATTTTCACCTCACTATAAATCATTTTATTTTTTAGTCTTCATAGGGCGTAACAGCATACTTAGCAAAATAATCTTAAATTAGAGAAGGGAAAGAAGAGAAGAAACCAACAGCCTTCATCTCTTTTCTTGAGCATTAATGAAGAGAAAGAAGATAAAAAATTGGGAAAGAAAACTGTAGATTCAATAAAAAGATTAGACTGTCAGTCCTTTAACTAATGAATAAAAAAGTTAACATATTGAGTGGGGCCCTGGTGGTAGAGTGGTTAAGCTTTTGGCTGCTAACTTGGAAACCCTACGGGGCAATTCTACTCTGTCCTATAGGGTTGCTATGAGTTGGAATCAACTCAGCGGCAATGGGTTATGGGTTATTGAGCACCTACTACTAATAAATATGTTAAGCACTTTAGAATTATCTCATTTAATTTTCTCAAATT